AAAAAAAAGCTGCAGAACACAAAAACCACCAAAACAACAAATAAACCAATTCCTTAAAAAAGAGGAAAATGGGCGCATGAGGGGTAGGGGTGGAAAAGGTTTTCCTGGGAAAATTTTTGCATCAAACAGGAGTAAAGGTGGAAAATGGAAAAAAAAAAATTTCCAACTTCCATGGAAAATTTTTACAATCAAACAGGGCCTAAGTTCTATCAAGATCACATTGAAAAAGTGATATGTGCTATGAAGCAAATACGTCATCTAGCAACCAAATGACAAAATGTAACAAAGCCATTTGTAACTTGTAAAGCTCACCAACCAATGTAACAAATCAACTGCTTGGACAAGAGCTTGGAATAGTTAATATGATGCATACACATGCACACATCAATTTTAAAAGAAATGAGAAAAATAACTTGTTTCCTTCCTACATAAAGATAGGCATTTAGAGGAACTCTTTTCATATAGGAGAACGAAATGAAACATGGTGCAATATCAAGAATGAAAGTTCTAAATGGAAAAACAGGTTGTGAACTAATTCTTTCAATAGGGTCATTAGTAGAATGAGATGACAGGGAAATCACAAAATTCCTCATAGTAACCATTACCAGCGCTAAGCAGTTTCTTGATGTTCCAAAGCCTCATCAAAACCAAGAGGTAAACACACTTGTGAAACTTGGAAACTATAATTAAAGTGATAAAAATGCAAACAATTTCATGCAATGTATCACCAGAACTCATTTTCAGCCATAATCCTAATTCACTAAAACTAGCTGTAATAGTCATTGAGAAAAGGGTGAACAAACTTAAAGGCACGTGTGAAAAATAGAAATTATAAATTACCTACAACAACAAAGAAAAAACCCCTTGTCTCAAAATTTCAAGTTTTCTTCCAATAAATAATTCAAAAATGAATTAAACTGATAAAGGCAAAAGAATATACAAACATATAAAACCGACATCACAAATTCACACTCTGAGAATCAAAGCAAGAACCTTTATACCGCTGCAATTTCCTCGAATCCAGATTGATAAAAAAGCTGAGTAAATTTTCCTCTGTCAACATCACAAGGAAGATTCCACAAAAATCTTGGCCTCCGGGGGGGAGGCTCAGAATAGGAATCTTCATTGTCCCGGAGTGCAATGAAAACTGTCTCAATATTGTTGACACCACTTCTGAACCTCCTCCATCGATCCATAGACTATACCATGGGAAACGGAATTAGGGAGGCTCCAATTATTGAGAGTTTCGAAGCTCTAGCAGGGGAGAAAGAGAGAGGTGGAGATTAGGTATAAAGGGGAAAGGAAATGTTTCTATTATTCTATACCACAGGAGAGAGAAATGGTTTGCAACGAGGGAAAATGAAATTTTTAAAAGGATGTGAATTTTTTAGAGTAAAGTGGATTTTTAAGAGGGAAGTGAAAAGTATGAGAAGATGAATTGATTAGGAGCATGTTTGGCTAAGCTTAAAATCCAATTAAAATTGAAAATATAGTTGTTACTGAATCCCACTCGTTTAATAAAAATCAACAATAACGCCTAGTTTTTCAATTTTAATCCGATTTTAATCTCTATCGAACACGCCCTAGAATTGTGTATAATTATCTTTTTTTTTATTGATTTATTTAATTTATCCTCTACAAATTTAATTATAACTATTACTATTCAATTATTTTATGTTATTAACTGTATAGTGAAGGCAAGAAAAGTTGGGAAGTATATTATCAGAAATGCCCAATTCTATTACCTTAAAAAATTACTGCTGATAGGACACAAAAGACTCTTCAACTTACTAAATTAGTTATTGGAATACCTGTAGACACTAAAATAAAGTTTAGTAGATGATTACTGAATTCATCAGTTATCACTAATTTGGTTTAACATTGCCCCTCGTACACCAAATTTGCTTTTCATTCCATGTTTCGCAAGTTGTTTCTTGAAGTTCTGACCTCCAACTAGTTTTGTAAATACATTTGCTACTTGATCTTCTATTTTACAGTATTTGACTTGAATTATTCCATCGTGAACAAGCTCTCTCAAGAAGTGATACCTCATACGAATGTGTTTAGTCTTCCCATGTAGAACTGGTTCCTTTGTAACAGAAATTGCTGAATTATTGTCACACAAAAGAGTTGTAGGAACATTCTGCTTGTGGTTTAGATTCTCCAAAATGCCTCATAACCATACAATTTGGCAGCCGGCAAAAGATGCCGCAATATATTCAGCTTACGTTGTTGAAAGAGCAACAATTGGTTGTTTCTTCGAACTCCAACAAATTACTTCACTTCCAATGCTAAAGGCAAACCCAGAAGTACTTTTACTATCATCAACACTTTCTACAAGATCACTATCAGTGTATCCAAAGAGTGTAATTAGAACATTTGATTGATAAAAAATGCCATAATCTATTGTCCCCTTAACATATCGTAAAATTCTTTTAGCAGCTTCCCAATGTTTTGAATATGGTGCTTCCATGAACCTACTTATTAAACTCACAGCAAACATGATATTAGGTCGTGTGGCTGTAAGGTACATCATATTTCCCACTAAGGTCCTGAACATAGTGGTATTCACAAGCTTTCCTTCTCCTTCTTTTCGGAGTTTCTGGCATAAAATGCATGGAGTTGAAATAGGGTTTGCAAATTCCATCTTAAACCTTTTTATAATTTCTCTAGCATACTGCTCTTGAGTAATAAAAATTCCACTTTCTGATTATGTACTTCAATACCCAAAAAATGATGTAATTTTCCCAAATCTGTCATATCAAACTCATTCATCATCAAGTCTCTAAAATCATCCAACATAGTCAGATTACTTCCAGTGAAGACTGGATCATCAACATAAAGACTCACTATAATGAGATTTCCATCCAAACCATTTTTGGTATAGAGAGTATGTTCATGTGGACTTCTATGAAAATTATTTGTTTCAAAAAATACATTAATTCTACTATACCAAGCCCTTGGCGATTGTTTTAAACCATATAAGGCCTTTTTCAATTTGAAAACATTATGCTCTTCTCCTTCCTTCACAAAACCAAGTGGTTGTTCAACATAAATCTCTTCTTCGATAAAACCATTTAAAAATGCAGATTTAACATCCATTTGCAAGAGCTTCCAGTTATTTTGAGTAGCTAGAGAAATTATGAGCCGAATAGTGTCAAAGTCTAGAGACCGAGGCGAATATCTCATTGTAGTCTTCTCCTTTTCTTTGCACATACCCCTTTGCTACAAGCCTGACTTTGTGTTTGTTGACTGAATTGTCAGGATTCAGTTTAGTTTTGAATACCCGCTTTACTCCGATATGCTTCTTTGGTGGCAGATTTGTGAGCTCCCACGTATTGTTCTTTTCAATTGTATCAATTTCTTCCTTCATGGCCTTTCTCCATTTTTCTTCTTTTATTGCTGTATCAAGTAAAATTGGATCCTCACCAGCAAAAAATGCAAACAAAATAACACATTCTTCATGAGTAGGATCTGTAGACTCGTAGATTTCTTGCAATCTTCTCATTTTTGTTCTTGATGGCTCTTCATTAGATCCTTCTCCTTTAGAACTTGGAGGTGAAAGGAATCTACAACTTGAAGAATTGTCACAATTTTCATTTGAGATGTTATCTCCTTCTTGAAAAATTATTGATTGACTGCTCTCATTACTTTCAATGGTTGATCGAACTTTACATCCCGA